AATACATACATACAAGACATCCTTGTATACATATCAATACAACAAAAATTATGTGTATTTTATTAACCTATATTTTATTCTCGGAGGTAATTTTTATTTATTTATTTATTTATTTTTTTGGGATACTTTATTTTATTGTGATGTCACAACGCCTCCTGCAGGAATCTCCTCTCTGTAGCAGAGAGTCCAGACCCTGGTCTGAAGCAAAGTGCAGGACAGGTTCTGGTTTTTACCTGGGTAACATCTTTTAAAGGTAAAAGGAAAAGGTTGAGCTGCAGAGACAACAGGTCCAGGTGCTCCTAACAACTCTCTAAAGAAAAAACTTTATTTAACCTTTGTTCATCCACATTTCACTTAACCTCTTTAGTTTTTTCTGTTTTCTTCCTTTTTTAATTGTTACARTTTCAGAAATGATCTAAGTTTATGTCCTTTCACAATAAAAGCACACTTTGTTTTTAATATTCTGCATATTCCACATGTCTGTTTGTGGTGTGAACATTGGTTTTATTCAGTTTTAATATTTTTTCATGTTACTTTACATTTCAAGCCAAACATATTGTGTTCTTGTGTTCATGTGGACTTGTTCTGTTGTGTTTTTGCCTGTTTGATACACCTTTTCTGACCAGTGAGTTTTATAATTTCCCAGAAAGATCCTGGCAGAGATCAAACGTCTGCGGATGGAGCACGACGCCGTGTGTCAGATGGGTCCAGAGAGGGCCAGCGTGAACCCAGCTCTGCTGGCTGAGCTCCGTCAGCTCAGGTGAGCTCACAGTCCAGAACCTAACCCTGCTCTGAGAGCTTCACACATCCCAACRGTTTCTTTATGCACGTCTGTCTGAGTGGCAGGGAGGTGGTGGGCCTGGACAACATGCAAACACACGTATTAAAATAAAAATAAAGAAAAGGACTGGATTATTTAGTTGGTTTTCTTTCCTGCGTTGTGCCGCACGTTTGTTGTGTTGTTGTGCAGCACAGAGGGAGATGTGTTGTGTTGTTGTGCAGCACACAGGGAGATGTGTTGTGTTGTTGTGCAGCACACAGGGAGATGTGTTGTGTTGTTGTGCAGCACACAGGGAGATGTGTTGTGTTGTTGTGCAGCACACAGGGAGATGTGTTGTGTTGTTGTGCAGCACACAGGGAGATGTGTTGTGTTGTTGTGCAGCACACAGGG